GTGCCAGGGCTCTGGGTGCTGCAGGGATTTACGGTACTGCTGTAAAATATAAGCTAGGAAAAAACCACTGGTGGAGGCAGGGCAGTGTGGGAGCGAGCCTTGGGGTGCCCCTGCTCTCCCTGCAGACAGGAGCTCCTTGGGGTGCCCCTGATCCCTGCAGACGGGAGCTCCCATCCAGACCTCTTGCTTGGCTCTTTGCTCTTCCTCTATTCCTAGGGCTGCATGAGAGAGAGAGATAGATAGAGATAAATATATATCAATATATATACACACACACTTGCTAAGCTTACTGCTGGGGGTGCCCACGAGCACGGTGGCTCCCGCAGCCCTTCCCGCAGCTCCTGAGTGACCAGGGTCACATCCTTGCTCCACAGACAGGGAGGAGAGGTTTCCAGGCAGGAGCTGTGTCTCCCATGGGTGAGGGCTGGAACCCGAACAGAGTTTTGCTTTTCCCGTTGTATTTCTCCTTTTGCACTTTCTGATCACTGGTGCAGCATGTCCTGGTGCCCACAGCCCGGGCAGTGCCCGCTTGGCTGGGCACTGGGCAGGGCACAGAGCATCTCCAGCCCAGGGGGCTCGGTCCCAGTTGGACGTGGTGGCTCATCCATCTTTCCTGTGTCCCCTCTGGATTTTCCAGTTCCACTGCAGGAAAACAGCTTCACCCGTGACTGCCCAGGCTCCAGCTCTGCACGAGGGCTCCCAGCTCCATGATGTGCCTCCTCTTCCTCTCCCAGGGCTGGAGCAGATGGGTGGGGGGCACAGGGGCAGGGTGAGGGAAAGGGCTGGGGCAGTGGGTGGGAGAGGGCTGGTGGCCACAGCCCGGGGTGGGGACAGGCCTGGGGTCCCCTCAGCCACTGCGGTGTCCTCTTCCACCCCCGTGCCAGGGGCTGTCCCCTGGGCCCCCCAAGCTGCCCCCCTGGCTCCAGCCAGCCCCCGGGGGCTTCGCTGCACCTCCTGGCTCGGTGGCACCTGCAAGACGTAACCTGAAATGATTTTTTATGAGAAAACGTAATTTATGAGCAATTCAGCCTCCCCCAGCCCTCCCTCCTGCAGCGTTTCTCTGGCCAGAGGCTCCTGCCTGGCCCTGGAGCGTGGCTGGGACCCTCCCGAGCTGGCTCCATCCTGGGTGCTGGGCAATGATCGGGGCAGGAAACGGCTTAAGATATTTTAAAAACTTTATTATTGGCCCGATGAGATTTGACACACATGCTGGGAGCTGTATGGAAATCAGCACTGATAAAAAATACAGCAATTATGACCCGTATTGAGAAAATAGACCATGTAAGAAGAGCCTTTCTATTAAAAAAGTTACCCAAGCCACAGCTCTGTCCTCATCCTGGACCTGCGGCGCCATAGACCAAACCCGGGGTGTGGGGTGGGGCTGGGCCAGCACCCCTGGGTGCCAGGGGCTGGGCAAACCCCCTCGGTGTTGGGGGGTGCAGGGAAGGGGGGATCAGGGGTAGGAGGGTGGGTGCTGAGGGAAGGGAATGCCCAGTCCTGCATGGGAGCAGCCCTGGGTGCTGCACCCCGGTCAGGGCAGGGGGTGGGCTCCTGCTGGAAAGGATAAGGAAAAAGCTTGGGAGAATTGGGTGGGGGGGTGACAGGCCAGGTGGGGGTTAAATAAAACACTTAAATAAGTACTCATTGCTTAGTAGGGAGGGGAACCAGCAGTGGGGGTATGGGGTGGCATGGCCACCCTGGGGCTGAATTGGGGTCCCCCAGGGTTCTGGGCTGGGGA